TAAGATCAAGACTGCAAGCAGAAAAAAACTACTAGTACGAGTCTGCCCACCTTCCTGTTCGCCGTATTCGACTGTGTGGTTCTCTCGACTGGAGGCTGGGGCACTGGGGGTTTTGCTGTCTTTCGATGGTCCCGAAGTCTTGTGGTCCTTCAAGGAGGTTGCGGGCCGGGCGGGGAGGGGGGGCTCGGGCTTGGCACTGGGCTTCTTGCCGATGGGGGGCGGGGCTTGAGGTTTTTTGCTGAGAGCAGGTGCACTGTGTTCTGATTGGACAAACAGAACATTGATAAAAGAGTCAGCAGGTTCATGCTAAGCTGTTACATCAGGAGCAAAGAGCTGATGGATTGCAAATGTTGGGACACTTCCAGCTACAAATTTCAGACTGAATAGGAGACCCAAAGATCAGACGTATGAAAAACCTTGAAGATAAAAAAACAAAGCGCAAAAGCAAACAAACAAAACAAAAACGACCAAACAGATTTTGTGTACACAAACTTGGAATCAAACTAGAAACTGAGGCATTAGAGGCAAGCACCTTGTCTTTAAGCTAGTTTAGTTTAGTTTTAGTAGAAGTTTTACAGCGCTCGCAACTGCATAAGGTCATATGAGCGCCAGCAGATTAGAACTGTTACAAGAGAGTAACAAACATAAAAAAGATAAAGGGGAGATAAGGACGATAGATGTTTGATAGGAAAGAAGAAGCAAACCACACCAGAGCACCCACCAACCACCCACGTCTTTTAGCTAACAAGTCCCTCTTAGCACACAGGTGTCTTTAAGCTAACAAGTCCCTCTAAGCACACAGGTGTCTTTAAGCTAACAAGTCCCTCTAAGCACACAGGTGTCTTTAAGCTAACAAGTCCCTCTAAGCACACAGGGTAAAAACAAAGGTGTGGCACGTGGTGGCACATCAACAAAATAAATCAAACAATGTACAACAGAACTCACCAGGTTTCGACTTTTCTTCTCCATCTCCCACAGAAGTCTTCTCGGGCAGTTTGGGGTACACGTGTTTGGAAGAGGCTGCAGGGGGTGGGGGCTTCTTCGGTCTGCTCGGCTGTGCCAGGGACAGAAAAAAACAGGCATTGACAGGTGGCTCTTTTTTGTTTTTGTTTTTTTTTTCCAAAAGGATTTTTTAGTTTTAGTAAGAGTTTTACGACACTTGCAACACAATAAGTTCATAGAAGTGCCGAGGAATAGAGGTGTCACAAGAGAGTAACGTACGCAAAAAAGGAGGAGGAGAGATCAGGAGGATATATGTCTGATAGGAAAGAAGGAGCAAACCACACCAGAGCACCCGTCAACCACCCACCCAAAAGGATTTGAGAGACTGAATGTTTTTTTCCTTTGGGAAGGGGAGGGGGGGGGGGGTTAAGAGTTTTGCAACACTTGCAACACACTTAAGTCGTATAAGTATCGAAGATTAAAGGTGCTACAAGAAAACACCAAACATAAAAAGAGGGAGGAGAGATAAGGACAACGGATGTTGGATAAGAAAAAAAACGAGCAAACCACATCACCAACTGGTCTGTCTGGAAATTTTTCAACACACATAGAAAGAGAAGACAAAAAAAGATCTTCTATTTAAACAATGAAACAACACACAGAAGTAAGCCCACAGTACTTTCATATTACTTTTGGTGCATACCTACTTCTATTTCTATTAAAGACCTAGAGACCAACCTCAGCAATGGTTTCAAAATCTTTTAAGAGTCAACATATTTCCTCCTGTGGCATGGGTTAGAGCATAACGCCAGAGATTCAAAATCACCTCAAGTCCATAGATTCAAAATCGCCTCAACGTTAGATTCTAAATCACCTCAACACCACAGATTCTAAATCACCTCAACGCCATAGACAGATTCTAAATCACCTCAACACCACAGATTCTACATTCCCTCAAGCTAGAACCAGAGAGCCTATTGGAACAACTATTTTGCCTACCTCCTCCGGGGGAACGAGCTCCACAAAGTTGTCGGGGAAGACGCCGACCTTGCCGTTGACCTCTCCCTTCCACCAGCCGTCATCCTCCAGCTCTTTCTCAAGGATGCGAACGACCTGGCCTTCTTCCAGGGACAGCTCATCTGGCTGCTCAGCGTTGTATGAAAACCGCACCACTGCACGCTCCAATGCTGAGCATAAAAAGGGAATATTGTTATGAGTCTACATAAATTCTTGAAACAACTGGTCCAACATGATTTTTATTTCCTGAAAAACTGACGAGAAGTCCCTAGTCCCTAATAAAATGTGTCACGACATGTTGGAATCGGGCGCTTGTCAATTTTTGGGCATTTGGGGTCATTGGTATTATCTTAAAGCTTATTCATTTGCCATGCTTTTAGTGAAAATAATATCCATCTATGTAGAACAGAAGTCGAAATATTTGCGATTGAAGGAGGTAAGGGTCGCCTGGTTTCAAAGGTAAAATTATTTGACTGAGTAGGTGTTTTACGGCGATATCGACCCACTTTTGGTCATTTAAGCGACAACAGGTTTCATTGTAACAAAATCAGACGTGTTTTAGTAAGAGTCTTTCGGAGCTCGTAATCGCATACGGTCACACTATTCTCATTATGCTAAAAGGACATTTATGAAAATTTTTGTATATATGGTAAAGACTTATTTACATTTGTATATACAATATTAATTTCAGTGTACACGGATAACGATAACTATATATTTTTATATTCAATTAAATAGTCGTATTTCTTTTACATAACTTAAAATTTTTTTTGGGTCTACAATATCAAAAAGGGTTTTGATTTCTTTACATTTAAAATATTTCTTACGAACATTATTAAATTCGACACATTCCGTTAGGACGTGCCGAACTGTGAAATTTGTGTTGCACGCCACGCAAAAAGGAGCTTCCTCTCCTTCGAGTAAATGTTTGTGCATGGCGTGCGTGTGTCCTATCTTTAATCTGGTAAAAATTACCTTTTCTCTTCGTAGGAGAGATAGTGGTTTCCTGGGCGCAAGTTTCGGTTGAATGTAATGGAGCTTGTTGTGTATTTGCTGATTCAAATTTGGGACCAGGAGGATGTGATGTGTTCTTTTACTTTCGGTTTCATGTCAGAGAAAGGGATTTTACTATTTTTGTTTTCAGGTAGTTTTAGAGATTCTTTGGCAAATTGGTCAACGTTGCCATCAATGCCTACATGGCTTGGAAGCCAAGCTATTGTAATAATTTTTCCAGACTGATGTAGAAAATGCAGTTTAATTATAAGTTTTAAAATTCTGTTGTCGGAGGTGTCAGAGCGCTCAAAGGTAAAATTAACAAGAAAATTACCATCAAAGTATGCTAATTTTCATAGCTTGGGAGTCCTTGGAAATCGAAAATTAAAAATTTTTTGTGCCTTTAATCAATGTTTTTCAGTAAAATCCACACAAAAATGTCTTTTTTAAGGGATATAAAAGGTTTTAAGCCAAAAAAAAAAGAAATTTTGGAGAAAAAATTGCCCCACGGCCAGAAAAATGCTAAGTTCTTATATTTCATTATTTCGACAAGCGCCTGATTTCACCACGAGCCTCACAAGTTTTAAAAATTAGCACAACTTCCTAGTTCTATAATGCTGCCCCATCCGATTCTCCATTCCCTTGCCCTCAAAACAGTAAATGGACCAAAAAATAAAAATACACAAATGGTAATGATTCATTATGAATGAGATCACATAGCACAAACAATCTGAGGCAATTAAAGGCTGATTAAGTATAAAAAGGCTCCCCCTCCTTCTTTCCAGACTCCTCTTATTTTCTTCTTCTTCTTCTTTTTCTTCTTCTTCTTCTTCTTCTTCTTCTTCTTCTTCTTCTTCTTCTTCTTCTTCACATGATGTTCAAAGAATTGCATTCGAAAAGCTTGATACTGTGAGAAACTTTAAAATTCTTAATGTCAAATTTCTCAAAACGAGGTACCGAGCAGATAGAACGTTGTAATTCCACAAGAGCAACTTACTGTTGGCCTTCTCTCGTTTGGCCGCCTCTGGGGCTGGGTCTGTGTCACCGGGTTTAGCAGGTCGAGCGGGCTCCTGTAGACATTTTTTTTCTTTCATAAGAGAGTTTTATCGTACATGCAACATACTAAGACCATGAATATAAGTGCCAGAGATCATAGGTTTTGATTTTTTTTATTGGAAAAAATTTAGAACACCACACCAAAGCGCCCGCCCGCCAACCCCTTACCCCTGTAGACGTTTCAGAGAAAACACAAACAAATGATCAACAGAAAGCAGAAAATTACCTTCACTTTTTCACTTTTTTTGTCTTAATCGATAAAGTCAATAAGATAATGCAATACAGAGAAAGGAGTAGGGAAAAAAAGACAGCAAAACGAACACACATCTTTTAACAACAACCCCCAGCCAACATTATATCTCAATCTAAATCTCTCAGCTTAGAGTCATGATATCATAATACCATGCGCAATAATCAATTCGGAATTTAAACACAAATAAACAGCAAAATGTGCACTGCATTCATCCGCATACGGGTTTCCTAACTTGGAACAAGAGATATACACAGAAACATCCTCGTATACACCAAAAAACTCACAAACGCAAGTACATGCAAAAATACTAAAAGTCATAAAATTCAAACCGTTTTCTACTCACCTCCTTCATTTTGCCATCTGCAGTAGACCGTAATTTGATGGGGCCACTTCCAAATATGTTGCCCAGGCCAACGCCCACAACCTTTTTCCCTCTGATGGCTTGGAACTCTTCTTTTTCAGCTGTAATTAGAGAAAATATTTCTTTCCCAATAACCTATGGAGGGCAAACATCCATATTGTTACATACTATTCCTAGACAGAAAATGACGAGCTTTTCTTAATTCATAAAGTTCGAACATGCCTAGCACACTTCAAGAAAACAGAAAGCACACAAAAAAATCAGAATTTTTCCCAATTACTTCATCTCAGGACAATTCTTCCTTCCTTTTTTTTCTCTTTTTTTGGGGGGTAAGTTTTACGGTGCTCGCAATCGCATAAAGTCATATGAGCACGCAGGTAACATACTTCAGAAGGTCCTCCAAGCTCCCTTGAAATCTCTCACAAAGCTCCCTCAGGAAATAGTGTTTGAATTAGAACAATAAACTCTCCTAATGGTCCACAGCTCTACATAGGGCATAGCATCCTTGAAGAGAGATTCAAACCACGAAACTGTTCAAACACAGAACACAAATAAGAGGTTTCCAATATATAGATCAACAAAATCTTTTCTAAGTCATATATGTTCTGTTCACAAGGAATAAAACATGTGTATGTACGCACTTTTTACCATGAGACCGTCATCGATCCACACCTACCATGAGAGGGGGACGGCATTGACCGGACAAGTCACATTGCCTCTAGCTTCAACCAAATTTCACTTTAAGACTCTCAAAGCCTTCATGGGTTTTTCTAAAAAGCAAATCTTGTGGAAAAAAAAAAACACCATAAAATCAGATATCTGTATAATGGCATCTATAAATAAATCTGCATCCACAAAAGCAAATCAAAATTCACTGTCAGTCGATGTTTCCAACAAGGATTAATTGTTTTAACTTGCATTCATTAAAGGACTGCTTTCTCTGCGGAAGTCTCCTATACCAAAAATACAACCCACTTTGTATGTGCGTGTGCCTGGAGAAGGGTCCTAGTTGCCCAAAATTTCGCATATTGAAAAAGGCATATTCTTGTAGCAAATTCAATGCTGAACAAGTTAATAGTTTCATTTTTTCAAATATCTTGAGTAGTTTCAAAGATATGCCACCTTTTGTAACACAGGGTGTAAAAACAAAGCTTGCAGAAAAAAACCTATCTCTTGCACTTTTTTAACCTTTGGGGAAGTACAACATGTTGCAAAAATTACTAATAAAAAAACATTTAGCCTTAGTATAATATTATAAAATCCTTTCAATATGTTTTTAAGAAACGGTTAAACGTGTGTTTTGTGACCGAACTAAATTTTTGAAAAGGTACGACATTGGTGGCCTTTCAGCCCATTGATCAAAAATATAAAAGCTTAGCTGAAAACCGAGACTTTTCCCCAGGCACACACGCACACACACACACACATTTTCAGTGTGCTTGAAACAAAAAGAAGAACCACCGACCGGCGTTGGGCTTATCTTTCTCCTCCGCAGGTACCGCAGGGGGCGCAACCGGGGCCGGAGCCTGGGCCTGGGCAGACGGAATGGTCTCCTCCGAGGACCCTGACTCTTCGACCATCTCCACAAAGTTGGAGGGGAAGACGCCGTGCTTCCCATTAATGCTGCCTTCCCACCATCCTTCTTCCACCTGCGCACAGAGGAAAGACAAGACTCATTGAAGCAGCGGTGCCCGTCTTGGCTTGACCAATTATAGTAATGATGATATTGATAATGATAATAATATTAATAATAAAAATAATAATAAAAATAATAATAATAATAATAATAATAATAATAATAATAATAATAATAATAATAATAATAACAAATAGTAGTGATGATGATGATACTGATGATATAATGATAATGATGATGATAATAATAAAAATAATAATAATAATAATAATAATAATAACAACAATAATAATAATAATAATAATATAATAATAGTGTGCCAATCACTAACTGGTGATGTCCTTCAACATTCAAGAAAGAAGAGATGTTATAGACCTTGTAAGCTACCTAAGGTTTCCGTCAAGGCAAGTGCGACTGCACTACATGATGCATTTAATTCCATCACAGAAAAAACACCCATCGGAGAAAGTCGACAAATGTGCTAAAAGCACAAATATACCTGTTTGTGAAACTCCACAAAGTCGCCCACATTCAGATCCAGTTCATCGTCATTTTCTCTCTTGTACTCAAACAACACTTTGCACTTTTTCTTTTTCTCTGAAAAAGATCAAACAAAGACATTCTTGTAAGTACTTTGGACATGAAGGGTCAAGAAAGTGAAAGGATACAAATGTTATTTCATCACTAAAGTTTAGTTTTTAGTACATGTGACAAGTTTTAAAGCACTTGCAAGACTAATGAATCATACTTGCTGAAGATTAGAAGTGTTACTGAGGAGTACTGAAAAAAGAAAGAAAGAAGGTAAGATGAGGACGGCAATTGATAGCATTAATAAAGAGTTTTAAACATTAATCGTTAGGCAAAAAAACACAGACGAAATCATGGATACAATTTTAAAAGTTCCTTTCTTTTAAAAGTAAACCACAATTATCTTACAATAGTTATTCAATAACTAGGATCTGCTGCACACTGTTTACTGATAGCAATTTCACTTTCTTGCTCACCTTTTTTCTTGGGTGGAGCCCCCATTGGGACGCCATCTTTAAATTTATTCGCCAGTTCTCTCACAGATTTGCGCTGAGTTGCTATTTGTTTCTCTTCTTTTTTCGAAGGGGGTGATTCTCTTCGCTTCACAAGCTGCAAGCAAACAAAACAACATCGACAAAATGATCTGACAATGCTAGGGCAGAAGCAAAATGGAGCACACATTTTAAAAACGCAATACTTTAGTAGAAACCTGAAACTCAAAAGTAAAGAAAAAAGGACAAATAAGGAAACAAAGTACTTGAGGATGGGCATGAGAGTTTTGAGCAACATTCAATATCAGTTGAGAACAGACTACTCGTTAATAGTACTGACCATAAAATCGACAATTCTCAAATTCTCAAAAGGAAAAAGTTATTCATTGCCTATGCTATGCCAGGAAGGATAAATGAAAGGATTAGCTGATCATATTGAACAGATAGGCAGGCAAATAACAGTATCAAAAGCCCAGGCTTTATTTTATAAGCACACACACACACAAACACACACACACATGATACACACCACACACACACTTAGCGATATTTAGAAATTAAAAGGTACCCTTTCTCCCATCCCAAGTCTTACAACAATCCCCTCATAAATATTTTATGACAACAACAAACTATGTATAAAAAAGAAAAAAAAATAGGAAAAAAAAAAGCAACCAGTAAAAAAACAAAACAAATAGTACCTTTACAAAGTTTTCGGGGAACATGCCCTTCTTGCCATTGAGCTCCCCTTCCCACCAGCCCCCCTCAGCTGTCTGCACATTGCTGATGACATCTCCAACCTTCAGGTTGAGCTCGTCCTCTTGCTCTGCCTTGTACTCATACTCCACCACAGCCTCCACTGGGGAGCAAAGACATACACACACACAAAAAGCAAACAAAGGGAAACATATAAAATCACACATTGTATTTTTATACTACAACTACACGAGGAGTTAATTTATGCACACAGCATCAATAAAACATTTTTTTAAAACAACTGTGTTCTATAATCAATTAACAATTTGAATAATCACCACCAACTTCATGTTAGGTGAATATTATGGCAACACTATTTTTTTTTTTAAAGAAAGAAATATGCAGCAATTGACATCAACTTTTTCACAAATAATACTTTGCATTTTATTAAAAGTGTGTGAATTTTTTCAACATCATGTTACACTTTCAGAATCTATTTTTAAGCTAACAGTTTCAGAATCTATTTTTAAGTTATAACTATTTAAATTTCGAGTTTAAGTTCATTCCAAACCTCTACACAAAATCGAATCAACATCATCAGTCCAACTAGGTGCATTTCTAACACAGGAAATATATTTAAATTCTTGAAAACTGCATGCTTTTTTTTGGTTAGTGTTCTCTGGCGCTCACAAGCGCATAAATAAACAGTGCCACTGACTGTGGAAGTGTTTTTAGGCCATGAGAGGACTGACATGACGTTTGTATGCACAGTAGAATTGTAAATGGACTGCAATGTCATTAGAATGCTCATACTGTGCCGCAAACAACAACCTAATCCGAGAAGGCTAGGCGTTAGATCTCATCTACCATAAGATCAAGGGTGTGGCTGAAAGACAGCAGTTAGAAGGAGCCAAGGAGTAGCAGTAGAAATGCTTCAGAAAAGAGTCCGGAGTCCATAGAGGAGCGTGGGTGGGGAGACGCCAGAAAGTGGAGACGAAAGCAGGTCACAACAGAATATGGTTAAAGAGCGGGGAAGGAAGTGAAAGGAATTTCAATCCTGGGACCTATTGAATGAGAGGTGAGCACCGCAACTTCTCGACCATGAGAGCCCCCCAAAACTGTATGCTCATGTGATGAAGCACTCAGCAAAAACCGCAATTTCTCCTTACACTAGGTGTGCACTAATAAGTTCAAAACAAGAAACACATCAACACCCAAAACTGGGCAAGGAGGGAAAGCTTCCCACAGAGCCTTTTGGACCAAAAAGAGTACCAATATTTGACAAAGATTTATCGTGAACTTTTTGAACCTCTGACCGATGGGCTCTTATTCTCTCAGGATGCAGCATTTTGAGATTTAAACTCTCAAAACAGAAAATATTGCAGAAACCCCAAAAAGAGATAGAGAGAAACAAATGGCATTTTCATTAAACTCTTTGCGGTTGCAATGCTTTTGACCCTTTTACGTACCTAATAACATCATGAAACCAAAATTATAAAAAAAACATTATAACTTAGAAGTACTGCTTTAAACTGGACCTGCTCCAGTGTACTTTGAACAATTTCTTTTTTTTTTTTTTTACTAATCTAGAGGGGGAAAGAATTCAAGGTCTTGTAATCTCAGTGATTGTTTGTGAATAAAACATTTATATTGAGTGCAGACTTTAAACTTTAAAACCAATTTCAATACCCAGCTTTTAAGAAGTCAAATTCAGTCATTAGTGCTTGATATAATTAAAAGTTCATGACGTACTGATGACAATATGATTTTTAAAAAGGCCTAAGAGGAGAGGAGTAAAATTTTACCTTCACACCTCTGCTTTTGGGGGTAAAACCATTGTATTTTTGGCTGCAGAAAAAACATGGCCATCAAAACCATCCCAAATCAATTTCTTTCCAAATACAATTTCAAACTTAATAAATTGCAAAACGTCATCCTTTACTATTTATGTGGTGAAAAGCAGGGAAGAAGAGGGGTTATTATATTAAATATGATGTCCACCTGAACACCCCCCCCCGTTTGTAAAAAACAAGCAAAATATTCTAGTAGTGAGCATGCATGCAATCAAGGATTTCTATTGTAGTAGTTTATTGAAATAACCATCAAATCAGATATCTCACAAATTAATTTAACTTGCTTGCATCTGGCAAGTTGAACTTCATATATCATACGGCTATCGTAAAATATGATAATAAATAATTTAAAAAGTGCACAGAATATTAAACTGAGACAAGAGTGATAATAGATTTTACACTGAAAGGAAACTCAACAAAACTGAACTATGGTTAATTAGCTATGCTGCACACATCTTGCCGGCCCAATTTGATAGGCCTAGTCCTTGTAAATAAAATTAAAATAAGTTATTTTTCTAGACCTCTTATATTATGTTATTTTAGTAGATCTAGAGAGGTTTTACGGCGCTCAGGTTGTATGAGCGCCAGAGGGACATCTCATAGTTAGGCCTGTTAATTCAACATTTGATCTAATCTTCCAAGTGTGATCCAATTAAAAAGCTACCTTTTTATGTATCTTGAATTCTATATATATGGCTGTTAAAAGTGACTTGCAAGACAGAATCACACTATTATTTCATTCCAAACTTACATATCATCGGAAGAATCATTTTTCTAGAGCTGGTTTTATCTCTGCCTCTGGGAAAAGCTTTCACTTTAAACACAAATGGTTTGTGGTACTGGTAAAAATAGCCTGCTGAATCATCCAAATTTCTCCAAACAAAACAGTTGTTTTTAATTTTGAGATTTAGAAACTGATCATCTCGGAATGCCTTTCTTGAACTTGAAGCTGCAGTAGTTGTAGTGATAGGCCCAGACCTTGTCCTAGTGCCGGGCATGCTATCGTATTCCTCATCAGAAAACAGTCTTTAGAAAGCCAAATGCTAGGAACAAACGAAAATGAGACACCAACGCAAAATGTGTTGATAACGCCCACATGACAGCTAAGATTTCCTTACTCTACTCCAGGCCTAGCAGACATGGGTAAATAAAGATAAAGTTTGTACTTCCTTCGTTGGTTCTCTCTTTCTTTCTCTTCCGGCATGTCCAACCATCATGATTAGTCACGATCTTACAGAAAATTACGGCCCATTCGGCAGTTTAAAACCCGGACTTTTTTCCAAATAATAATAGACAAAAAGACAACATAATTACTTCACTTGACATACAAGGGGTTTCCATAATTGGATGTCAATCACTGGCCGTTCTCGGACAGCAGTAATCAGGAAGTGTAAGTGTCAATCGTTTCCGTTTCTGAATAACGACACAGTGCAGAATGACGATAAGCGCGAGCTCTCTCACCAAATTAAATCCTAACACACTTCCGTAACCGAAAGAGGGTTGGACGGGGGAACCAGTCCGAGAGAAAATAGTGATCAATTAGTGACCAGGAACTAAGAAAAACAAACTTACTTAGAGAGAAGAGTATCCACCAAACGCCAGCACATAAAACAAGATAAGGGTGGCTCAAGTCACTGCTTGACTTCAGCCGGGGTACACCACTGTTCGATCAACACACTACAATGCAAACAAATATGGCCGTCGTCACGTGACCGACAGCGCTGAATGGGAGTGTGTTACTTTCGCATCGTAAGTGCAAGAAGATACTTGGTTCTTCAATGTGTTGACCACTCAAGACAGACCTCTTTCACAATAAAGTAGGCCTAGACACAGGGGTCCGAATACTTACCTGAATTGTTTAAATGATAAGTCAAGCTTGTTTGTCTTTACAAGAGTATTTTTGTTTTAGCAATAAGACTGTCCCACAGCCGAAGCGTGTGTTTTTTTTCGGCCGCAAAAGCATTAATATTTACATTTGTGTTGGGGAACATCAATTAATGTTATTCCCGTTACAAAAATTAGTATTGTTCTCTTGACCTACCGTATCCAACCAGCATTGCACGAGCATTGACTGGGCTTCTTTTTGGTTGTTTTGTTTTGGGTTTGTTGTTGGGTTTTTTCAAGCTAAGTTCATTTGATACAGTAAGAGAGATAAAGTCTTTATGCAACGTTTCTGAAAAAGAAAATTTTTAATATCAGCTGGTCGTTGAACTTTCTGTGGATATGTCAATTAAACTACACAAAACAAAATTTAAACCTGCACAACAGTCACGTTATTCAAGAGAGAAACATCAGCGATGATCAAAAATGAAAGTGCCTCTGTTAGATTGCGAAAAGGGTTTTACCAGCGGGTATAGTTTTTCTACAAAATTGGGGCAGGTATAGGTACTGTTTGTGTAGACTAGTGATTGATGGATTAACCAAACGATATTGGACGGGACAGGAACATGCGTCATTAACCCCGTGGTTATGATTCATCAGTCAAAACGGTCACGGATGAAGTACACTTTTGCTTGGACTTATTTGGAGTCACCGTTAGCAGACTCCACCGACTCCCGGACCTTGCCTTGAAGTAGCAGCAGAACACGCAGAGCGGGCGGGAGATTTTGTAATTTATGTAGCCTACATGTAATGTGTGCTGTTTACCACGTTTGTTTTTTTGGTGGAAGGGTTTTTGGTGTGCGTCTTCCCTGAAAACTTTTAGAACGTCTCGTTTGGTAGTATACACATATGGTATGAGTTCTACTCTCCGCTTTTAACACTGCGCGGTATTTGGGCATCGTGCATTTCAGCATAGGCTCTTCTGATCTATCTAGATCTGCTGAGTGCGCCATTAAATTTGTTTCATCGTGACTCGCCGTCACTCTAGATCTATATTTAGATAGTAAAAACCGGTGCGCACTTTCGGTTGGTTGGATGACTCAAGAAGTGGTCAAACTACTTATCACCAGTAGGTCTATCTGCGAATAAAAAGTGGTGCGCCTTTTCGACGTGGATGGCCCGAGAAGATTATATAGGAGAGAAGCGGTAAAACAGTTTGGAATTTTATCATCAGTAGGCTTGAGTAGGTCTGCGTGTGTAGCCCCTCGTTTAGATTTATTTGTAAATTGTTACAAATCAGAAGCAAAAACAACCAACCCCAGGGACTCCGAGGGGGCTCTCGTGGCCTAGAGGTTAAGGTGTTGGCCTCTCATTCAAAAGGTCCCGGGTTCGAATCCGGGTAGCGACCGAAAATGTTCTTCTTTAAATTTGTCTCCTTTCACCTCATTTCCTGCTCTGTAGCAATGTTCTGTCGTCTGCTTTCGTCTCCTCTTTCTGTCCCCACCCCCTCATCTCCTTTGCCCCTTCCTCTGGGCTCCTGATTATTTCTGCGCCTTTCTACTGCTTCGCTTCTTCTTACTGCTGTCTTTCAGCGACACCCCTGATTTTCTGATAGGAAAGATTTACGCCTAGCCATCTCGGACAAGGGCGAAAAATCTCGGAGGGCCCA